CCAGGGCGAGCCGGTGCGCTCCCACAGCTCTGCTCCGCGGTGCCCTCGGCCTGCCCGTTTCCGCCTGCGACCAGCCACGGAACGCCGCACGGCCCTACGGAGAAACGCCACGGAGCGTCGCGTCGCCCGGTGCAGGAGTCGGGGCGCTGAAGGGAACGCGGGGCAGGTGCTCCGTAGGGGCTGCAGGGCAGAGCAAGGATCCTCCCGTGGGAAGACGTTGTTGCCTTGCGCATGTACTGTCCCTCGCTCTGGGAGTCACATCTGACCCTGGCTCAGCTGCAGCCAAGGCAAGTCGCTCGCTTTCGGTTCTTCAGGACGGTCGTGCCGGGTTGTTTTCAGCAGACGACGCCATCCTGCCGGTCACCCTGCTTCGCGGGACGCAGTTTGCCGCACTGGGAAGCGGGTAAGGCAGCGACCAGCACCGGCTCGTACAACGTGCCTGTCCTCAGAAGCGTGCTTCATCCCATGAGCTGTCCTCCTCACGGTGTGGTTTTAGTCCTGATGTGGCACACAGATAAATAACAGATTCTAAGACACATCGAGAGAAGGTTCAAAAGACTATTTTGGGAGCAGGGTCTGCCTTTGCTTTTTTGAACTACACAGAACTTTAGAATCGGCATCGGTGGCATCAGAACTCTGCTCCATCCCCCTCTGCTGTACAGCGTCTGTACCCATGGCTGGTGTCACGAACTCTGCCCCCCTTCTGCATGGAGTGCAGGAGCCAGCACCCACATGGAGCATTACTGAAGGGCAGCAGAGCCGCTGTGTCCTGTGTCCAAGCGAGTGCCGTGGAAAATCCAAGACTAGCAGTACCTTCTCCGAAGACCAGGCTTTGCCCTCGCGTCTGAAGCTTCTTCACTGAAACAGGAAGATCAGCTCTGTGTGAGAAGTACCACCCTGTGGGAGATTCCATGTGGTCCTGCGTCCCCTTCCCATTCCACCAGCGCCAAGACAAGCTGCTGTCATTGAGCAGACCAGCGTTTCCACGTCCCATCCCCCAAGCACCAGCCCGGCGGCCGTAACATCCACCACGAGCAGGAGGGGGTTGTACCTTCCACTCGCGTCAGCATGGGGAGCATCGGCCATAAACCACGGAACACCGAACCGCTTTTCTGGGCTCTCTGTTGCGCCAGCCTCTACCACGTTAGAAAATTTCCTTTCACAGGTTAATTCTGTGCATTAAATACTATTTTTGTCTAAGAGGGTGGAGGCAGCTCCTGCTGTTCACGCGTGGGTATTTGAATGACACGCTTTAAAGGCTGCAAAACCAGTTACCACCCCTTCAGCTTGTGGGAAGTCACAGAAGTAAACACCAGGCAACACAGAGCTGTCCCTTTGCCCCTGGAGATGGCTTCTCCCGTCTGCCACTTTCACAGCCTTGGTTGGTGGTCAGTGCCCCACAGTCCAAGGAAGTCACTTGCCAGAGCGGCTGCTCCGGGCAGGATTGTGTGGGAGACCCAGCTTGCCCACTCTGAGAAAAACAGGACTGATGCAGACACAACCTCCACAGGTTTTCAACTCCCGCCCATGCTGTAAGGCCACCCCTCCCGCAGCCGGCAGCCACGCGCTTTGGAGACCTCGTTAAAACACAGCCCAGAAGCGATCAACCTGTCCTAATGAGTTGGGAGGAGACGCCTGCACAGCACACGGGGCTGAAGGTTTGTTTACATGCTTTATTTCAACGGTTCACAGCTTAGTCATTGTCTACAAAAATATATTTCTGAAACTCTGAGTCCTCTATAAAAAAGCTGGTCAGCAGCAGTGACCCGACAAGCAGGATGTACCTGGGGCAGCGTGAGCAGCCCCTGTACACAGCCTAGCGCGGCCGGGGCACTCCGGCCTCCCCCCGGGGGACCTCTGGTCTTTGGGATTAAAGCTCTGCGCAGTTCTGAAGGAGGGCGCTGGGGAGGAGAGCCCTCTGCTGTGCACCCACCCAGCACACAGGGAGGGGAGCCGCAGATCACGCCAGCAGAGGACCCGGCGCGCGGGATGGAGCAGCCCACAGGGCGCTCGAGCGCGGATTTTCCTTTGGGCTGTCTGTTCAGTGCTGCCGTCGCCCGGCGCCAACGGCTACGAGCAGAGGTACAAGCGCCATCCACGCCCAGCAACCCCGGAAGCACGAGAGTCCTCCGAAGTGGCGCGGAGGGCTCTGCTCGTTTCTACCCCAACGTTTTCTGCTGTGGCTCTCATCAAGGGGGAAGCTGCCTTCCCGTCCCATCACGACCTCCACAGTGCTGGACAGAGTCGAGCCACTGTCTGTGCTGTCCGCCTCCACCCCTCCTACCCGAAACGGGACTGGCTGTTTAATCCCCAGCCCTACTGGTCACCAGTGTGTCTCGGCACCAAGAGTAAGAACTGAGGAAATCAAGTGTCCCCAAACGCGATCTTCCCACTCTTCCTCTGCTCGGTTATGTGACTGGGCTGCAGAGATATGTCCAGTCAAGAAAGGGGAAAAACTCTTTTAAACAAAGAACTCTATCTTGCCCGGTGTGCCGGAGGGGACAGCGTGCTCTGATCCCGTATTCACAGGGCTAGAAGCCCCTTTCCACAAAACCATCTCAGACCAGAAGCTCTACGCAGGGCAGGGGTTTTCAGCAGCGAGCAGGAAAGCGGAGTTCCTGACAGACGGCTTCCCTGACGCACAGCAGAGCTCTCGCTCCCTGAAACTTCTCTCTGCCTGCCCGTCAGAACAGCTTCCTGAGCCAGCAGCGTGTAAATTTGGATTTCCTAGAGATCAGAGGGCTCAGGAAAGGGCTGCTGGTTACTCCACGTACAGCCGCAGTCGAAGGTCTGCAAATGCAAACTCTGAGCTCTGGGCTTTTGTTTGGAAAAGCTGCCCTGGAACCTGTGCCCACCACCAGTCCCAGCCTGGGAGGCCAAGGAGGTACGTGAATTTGAAGCAGAATCAGCATCATCCATGAAAAGAAAGAAGCCAAGAACCTTCCCCGAGACAAATACCTTCCCAAAGACACTCCGCCCTAAAGAACCAACGCCATCCCCCTAACGGCGGCTGCTCAGAGCGCGAGATCTGCAGGAAAACACCTGAAGTTCACTTCCTATTTTCCTTCTAGCCAGGGGCAGCGGCAGAGAAAGGAACGGATCACCTCGCTGCACTCCTTCAACTTCCTGACCCCGCAGTCAGGTTCCCCCGAACACCCTGCGCAGGACCGTCTGCACCGCAGGCTGCGCTGCCAGTCTCCGCCCAGCTCCCGGCTGCCAGCGCAGGGCAGAACCCGGGGAGGCAGGAACCCACACGGAGGGGCTGCCTCCCACCCAGCACCTGCTTTAACATTCCACACCACAGGAACAACTCCACGGGGAACGACGACATCCTGTGCGCGGAAAGGCCGTGACTGAAGCGTAACAGGATGAAATTCCAAGAGGATTTGGAATTAATGAAAATCTCCTGCGGAACCTGTTTTGCCAAGGCCTCCGTGCCCCTCAAAGTGATTCAAATCCCATCATTTGGGAAACAGGAAAAGACTTGTGAGCAACGCTGCTGCTGTGGCTTCAGGCGACACGCAACAAGTGGTTTTGCTCCGTCAGTGTAACCGAGCCGATCCACGTACAACACCCCTGCCTCGCCCTGCCCACTCCGGGAGACATGGGAGGCGCCAGCGGGACCAAGGCAGCCCCTCGGTCGGCTGCTCAACGCCGTCACCCTTCTCCTCGGCGCAGGCAGTGTCACCGCGCTGCTACGTCACCTCTAGACGCAGTTACAGAAAAAAGTCGCCAGCATGAAGCTCTGTGCTGCAAACGACGGACACGCCGCGGGTAATGCGCGTTTGCTGCGAGGCATGCGCCCCAGGAGCCGGCAGCCACACGTCACTGCTCCCTGCTGTCACCCACGGCAAGCTTTTCCCAGTTCTGTGTTCTCTTTCCGAGTCCCACAGACCCCAGGGTGAACTGCTCTGAAGCCCACAACACCCTGGCCACCAGAACACATTTGATGACATTTTAATCCCTTCCACGTCATTGCCAAGGCTGGCTTTGAGACTGGTACCTTCAGGCCTAGTCCCGCGCGGACAAAAGTCCGCGTGGTGAGGAACCTGCAGCGCCTGCGCCGTGCCTGCTCTCCCAGGAATCCGTCGTTACAGCGAGAGAAGTAACGCGGAGGGCTGAGCCGAGGCTGCATCCTACCAGGGGCAGAACGAGGACAACACTCACAACTTGGCCAATTCATTAGTACTTTTCTAACATCTGCCCCACGGCTCCACTTGGAGGTTCAGCCAAATCACACCAAAGCTGGAAGTCGCTACCGCAAGGTGTGCCCGGAGCCTGGTGCTGGGAGCGCCGAGGGCCACCCCTCACCGGGCAGCTCTGCTTGGGTCCTCAGGCGCACGAGGACGGTTCCCTGTCAGGGACAGCCAGGGCGGATCCATGGGCAGAATCGCTGGTTACACCACCACTTGTGAGGGGAGGCAAGGTCACTGCTGCCCTGCCCCAGGGCAAGGGAAAGACTCATTTAAAACTAAAGGGTTACAAAATAAAGGCAAGAGCTAAAGTTTGCCGGTAATGAAATGCATCCTCCCGTCCTGTCCGAACAGGAAACAGTCTGTAGGATGTTAAAGAAGGTCCTAGGAGATCCCTCCTGCTTTTTCTGCTGCCAGAGGGGAGGAAGATGGTGCTATTGGTCAGCGGGAATCTCTCTGTCGGCATCCAGTTTGCTCGTCTCTCCTGGGGAAGGGGTACGCGGTGCAGAGTGAGAAACCGACGGGATCCCGTGAGCTACAATCCCTTCCACTCCCGCTGGTTCTGGCAGCCCAGGGGGGGCTACTCCCACTACTCCTGGGGGAAACCTGAAACCAACAGAAACACAGGAATTACAAGCTTGTCCAGCAGAGTTATGCAAGGGGAAAGGAACAGTGGAGCACCGGCCAACACCCCCCTTTCTAACGGAAGTGCTCGGAGACGACACAGGAAAAGCCTCCGGAGCCCGAGAGTGGCACTGACAGCCTAGTGCCAAATGAGACCTGCTCTCTGACAGGCAGAGCCTCAGGTCACACACCAACCGTCCGGAACACAGCTGGAGAACAGTGTGAGCATGGTGTGAAGGTACATGGAAGGGCTGGAGATCCCTCCCCATCAGCAGCAGGATTGCAAGCTGCCAGTTACCCTTGGCTGGGCTTTGAGACAGAAAAGGTAAGGAACCGAGCTAATAAACCAGCTAGACGCAAGGTGAAAAGAGGACAGCAGTATTAAGGAATTGCTAACGAACCATTCTTGCCATTACTCCCACTCTGCCTTCCTGGGCCTTCTCCATAAACACATCTGAACCTCTGCAGGTCTCAAAGAAGGGAAGAGGATACATTTCCTACTTTGCAGATGTGAGAAAAACAGAAGAGAAGCAACCTGCCCACAGTCGCTTGGCAGGTCTAACAGCCAGGGACGTGCCCTGTTCAGGCCACTGCCCAAAATCCACTGACAGGGTCTCCATGGTCCCCACTTGGGCTACAGCAAGGGCTGTGCTTTGCGTGCACAGCCCTGACGATACGCACAACTTGTAAGTGTCAAGACCCAGACCTCTCTGCAGGCAGCCAGCCAGCTTCCTTACAGCACGGGAGCTCTTGGGCAGGAAAAGCTAACCAGCGTACGGCCGGAACTAGTAATGCCAAGTGCGTGTTCGGTCTTCATACAGCTGCTGTCAGGTTGCTGGAGAGCTCACACACAGAGCGCACGTGAACCGCAACACGCACGGGCCGTCCGCAGACCCCGGAGGGATGCTGGCCTACCTCTGTTGGAAGGTGTGTTGATACGCCTGGAAGCAGTAGCCCGGACAACCTCCGTATCTCACCTGTAAGCTGCAGCTCCGTTGAGTTCTGGGTGGACAGTGGCAGGATCGATACTGGACCACTGAGCTGCTAACAGCAAGTACTCCTTATTGACACAGTTCCTCAGAGCATCAGGTATGTGACCTGCAAGAGCACCAAGAATGACAAAACACCCAGGACATGAGTAGGAGGGGCTCATTCACTGAAGCCTTTACAAAGTAGAAAGGAAATGCACGGCATCTTTTCCATCTACCTCCACAGGATAACACTGGGCAGGGGAGTCTCTGCTCTGAACAACTGTTCTCCGGAGAAGACAAGAAACTCATCATTCCTTCCCACTTTGGGATCTTGTGGAAATTACTGGCCCCAAACGGCCATTGCCAAGCCTCGCCTTCCCAGGAGACGGTACGTGCCGGTCCAGGACGAGGCGTATGCTGCACCCACCAAGGGAGCCATTGCCAAGGGTCTGGAAGGTGTACCAGGCACAGGGCCTTCCCTCCAGCATCAATAACAAGACTCTCAGAACGCACAGCCACAGTTACCAGCATGTTCCAGTTCCCAAAACCAGTTACTGAGTCTGTTTTCGGAGCGGTCGGCGTACTCCCTGCAGCGCGCCAACACAGGAAAAGCAGAGCACACGGTCGTCCTTGTTACCTGTAATAGCTCTGCGGATCTCCTTGGCGGCGTCTTCCCTGGACTCGATGGAAGCCTGCTCGCTGTACCAGGCAGTGTGAGGGGTGCAGATTACATTGGGTGCATCTTTTAAGGGCCCCTGAGCAAAGCTGTGGGGAGGGGGGAAATAAATAAGTGGTTTCTGTCCAAGAATGACAACCCCATCTGTCCCCTCGGGTGTCACCGCGACCCAAATAAACCCCCAGGAGCCAGCGCAGGGGAGCCAGAGGTAGCAGCAGCATGCAGCGTTACCTGAAAGGCTCAGACTCGTGCACATCCAGTGCTGTTCCTCTGATCCTCCCCTCTTTCAGGGCTTGTGCTAAGGCTTTCTCATCCACCAGCCCGCCCCGGGCTGTGTTCACTAAGAAGCAGCCCTGGCGCATCTGGAAGAAGAAAAATAGGAAGTGGGTTGAGAATGAGACTTTCCAGGGGAGCAAAACGAATCTTGGGAAGACTACTGGAAATGAGCAGGAGCCTGCACTGACTGGATGAGGCCTGGACGACCCAGGAGTGCTCTCACCGAAAAGCTAACCACAGGGGGAATGCCTGCAGGCAATGCTTGAGAAATGTGCTTTAAAAATGAACAAACAAAACCAGGCGGCAACAAGGGCAGAAGTGGAACTCTCAGGTTCTGCACTCCATGTTCATCCTACTCCGTTAAAAAAGGAAGAGGACAGGAATCGAGTAGCCATCTACACAAAACTGGACTACAGCGTCCAGGCGTCCCTCGTGAAAGCACAGAAAAGCATTCCACGAGGAGTGGAGGAGAGCCCGAGACTGACTTTGCAGTGGGCTTGGGCAGTGGCCTGGGCGGAGCCGCGGGAAGAAAGGCACAGCCCCAGCCACACTCCCCCGCTCCATCCAGCACAGCCGAGGACGCCCCTCAGAGGTCCTCCAAGCTGCCGGGTCGCCCAAAACGTTCTCTGCACGTCAAGTTACTTGGCCAAAAAGAGCCAATCCCATTCTTAACATGAAATGCGGCACAGCACAAAGCACAGGCACCCGGATCCACACGTTCCCAGCCTCCCATGGCAGCGGGAGGCACACGGCAGAGGCAGCAGGATTCACACGCTCTCAGCCTCTGGGAAAGCAGCAGTTTCTGTTTGCATTCATTTCCACAGTGCTCTGTGGGGGAAACCAAGCTCCTGCTGCACCTGTTTAATAGTGAAGTCATTGATGAGGTGATGGTTATGTTCATTCAGGCTGCAGTGCAATGTGATGCAATCGCTGTGCATTAGTAGATCCTGCAGGGTTCCTACTCGCTGTAAACCCAAGGATCGCTCCACTCCATCCGGCAGATAGGGGTCATAGAAAATCACGTTGAAGCCAAAGGACTTGGCTCGCAGAGCCACTGCCTGTCCAACTCGGCCTTCACAAAAGAAAACCCACAATCATCAAGGAAAGGTAAAACAAACTTTAAAGACAAGATACTGGGGCAGACTGGGAGCCTACGCTGGAGTCTACTGCCAGGGCCCAAGGTGCGGCAGCCCTGGAAACCCCTAGGGTTGCCGTAGGGATCCAGAGGAGGGTTACTCAGTGCTGATCCCCTGTGGCTAATTCTGGTCTTTCCCCATGCAATAGCCAGAGCCTAGCCTAGAAGGAGCTCTGGTTTTCACACCGAACCTGGACCCCGAGTCAGCGCAGTAACAATCTCATTGCAGGAACCTGGGCAAGCCATTGGTAGCTTTCCGTTGCTCTGCTGCCGATGCAGGGCCTGGCACACAAGGCAGCAGTCAGCAGGAGAGCTGGCCGAACGTTCCAGTCCTCCTAGCCCTCTGAGCATGAAAAAATCCCCAATCCCAGGACACAGACCCAGCTCCTGGAGACCAGCATCACAGAACAGGGCACTAGCGCTCCTTACGGGTCGGTGTGGGTCACACTGAACAGCTGCAAAATTAGCACTTTTTTCAGTCTGTGACTCTTAGGTTCCCAAAAACCTTCACAGTTCACTTCTCGGTGTAGCAATTCCCATCACTTACCTAGTCCAATGATGCCCAAAGTCTCCCCACGGATACGCACAGCGCCTCCAGCCACCTCTCGAATCTGCTCTACGCTGGAGGCTCGATTCCCTTCCCGCATGGCCTGATGCAGCCAAGTAACACGGCGATAGAGGTTCAAGATGTGGCAGAGGGTGGAGTCCGCTGTCTCCTCTACTGAGGAGGAAGGGATGTTGCAAACTGCAATGCCTACAAAGCCACAGAGGTCATATGAGATTTTTAGCATCACAGCGCTAAACCAACATAGAGCTCTTCAGGTCGGAGTGTGAAAGGAAACTTGGTGCTCCAGAACTACTGCCAGGAAACACGGGATTCACTTCAGAAGCTCGTTCTGCAGCAACACAGATGCAACCAGCCAGCTTTCAACCCCAGGTAATGTCATTCCTTCCTTAGAAATACCCATTTGTCCGACACACTCACCAGAAAAAAACGGCTCAAATGAGAAAACTGGGTCCTAGAAGTGACGCACGAACTGACTGGTTGGGAAGATCTGCACCCAAAAAGATGCACGCTTTCCAGAGACACTCCTGCCAGACCAACTGGCAGACTGTTAGAAGAATTAGGACAGATGGTTGATCTCTTTCATGCCTCTCAGTCCAGCTCCTCACTGCAAGCATCATCTTCCCCAGGAGCAACAACAATTAACTCCCTGAATGCAGAGAGAAGCCACGGGAGCCTCTCTAAATCCATTAGAAGTTACACTTGAAAACAGCAGCACCTAATGCTGCCACTCTGGAGTAATGAACAGCCGCAGGGGAGCCCAAACCCCATGGCTACAGCCACCCGCTGAAGAACCGACGCGACCAGAGGCACAGATTACTGTCAGGAAAGGGAAAGAAGGAACACTGCAGCAAAATCTGGTCATTCCTGAGCAATCTATTAAAAAGAAGGTGTGGGGGGAAGCGGGCACAGGGGCTGGCAACGCACCACTTGACTGTTGCTGCCATCCTTCCTTCAACAAACCAGCCAAGAAATCAAAATAACTGGATGGAGAAACGGCCCCTTCCCAAGCGCAACCCCAGCCACGGCCAAGCCAGGGAAGCCTTCCTCTGCGGAAGCCCATCGCCTGTCTAAAATCCAGGAACAGAATCTCGGCAGCGGTTGAAGGCACATAAAGCCAGCAGCGCATCACTCCGTTGTACGACTGTTACAGAGGAGACGGCCGTGCTCTCCCCAAGCGCCAGCCGCACGCAGCCCCGGACACCCGACTCCTTTGCTCTATCAAGTCCTTTGCAGTCAGGCCGTAAGGTCTCACAGACGACTGGGAGGACACGAGGAGGGCAGACAGGCAAACCAAACTATCTTTCACTTCCCTGGTTACCACCTCATTCGACCTCAGACAAGGCACCTGCATTCATCTCCCACAGCTAGACACGAACCTGTGCACTGTCACGCCTACGCGTAAGACACCAACGCAACAGCAGCCCCTTGGTCAGGTGTGACCGTTCCGAACGCACAAGGGACAGGATCTTACCTCGGAATGAAATGAAGGGTCTGGCTAAGCACAAAAATGATCAGTAAGTGTCCGTGAAAAGGCAAATCTGGCCCCGCGTAAGGGTCGTCACACCATCGCTCCAAAGCAAGAGTGGGAAGCCGCAGCCCGACGGTGGGAGAACTTTGACCCATTTCTCCCTGGGTTAATGAGTGTGAAAGGGGGAAGGGAAAGCTTTGAATCCGAACGACTCGAAGATCCTGAGGAATGAGTTAGGTGCCAAACTCAGCCCAGAGATGTAATGGCTGGGTGAGGGCCAGAGGCCTTGCCAGGGACTCTGGGGACTCTTCAGCTGAACATCTCGGATGGAAAGACTCCTTTTGCTCAACGCAAGCACCAGACAAACGCGCTCTCTGTGGCTCTTCTTGCAGATCTGGAAACTGTAATGCCTGTTTCCATTTTATATATAAACACTTGCATTTGACTGAACCTTAATCTGATCCCTGTCACGTTTGGGAAGGCTTCCGATCACCGACACAAACGGAAAGAAGGGACAGGGTGCTGAGCTGACCCACCTCACCTACAAGCTACAAGCTCCAATGGGCTCACTGCCACAGGTTTAATAAACAGCAGCTTCTTGTCCCCTGATCCAGACTCTGCACATGCCTCGGGCTCTAAAGGGATCAGTAATAAAGTGCTGAATCGGCACCTACCTGCATAGACAAAAAATTAACAGGACAACTCACTGATCGAGCATTCAGTTAGTGTATCCCGCGTCAGCACCTGCAGGCGGCTTTCAGGCAGAGTTTGCTCAACTCTCTCCCCACAAACAACCCAAAGCTACCTCACCAGGAGTTATCTGGGCACCACATTCAGGTTTCTGAATCCCCAACCGTAGCGAAGACACCAACATCCCCCGCAGAGCCACCTGAGGGCTGAGAACCTCTCAGGCCACCTCCCAGCCCGACACTGGCCGGCTTCCTAAAGATGCCTGACACTGAGCAGCTCCGGACCTTTGTACACAGGTTTTAAACGCGTTCAGCTCTAAAACAGAAACACACGTGCAGCATTGTACTTCACATGCAGTTCTGATTGCAACGGAGCCCTAACGGTGTCGTCATACCTAATTCTGCAGCGGATTTGATGTCAACATTGTCATAGCCACTGCCAATACGCACAATGACCCTGAGGGCTTTAAATTTCTCCAGATCCTGACGAGAAAGGGTGATGGTGTGATACATCAGAGCTCCTACCGCCTCATTCAGCACCTGCAACAAAAACCAGGCCGCGTCAAGCTCTGCTGTGGCTGCTCTGAGAGGCAGAGCTCCACGTCCGACTGCTCGCACAGGTTCTTGCCCACCTTTTCATGGATTTCCTGAGTTGACTGAGCGTCACAGAATGCCACCGTAGCAACATCCTTCAAGATGGGCATCTCCACAGTGCAATCCCGTCCATCCAGGAGCGCAACCAGTGGCCGTGCCGGCATCGGGCCATTCACCACAGGAGGCCGTATGCCTACGAAGAAAGCCAGCGGGAGTGGTTACGGGAAAGGGAGAATTCCGGAACGCTCATTCGCCAGTCCAGCAAGTCCCTCGTCCTGCGAGAGTTCCGCAGCATGGAGGGGGTTAGTCAAAGCCAAAGAAACAAATGGGAAACGAAGCCAGGGAAAACCCCAGCCCTGCCACCACCACCTGCCGGGGTGCCCAGTCCGCTTCCT